AGCCAGTCAGTGTTTCTGTTGGAGAGCTTCACCCACCTTCTCTTTTTTTTTTTTTCTTTTTCTTTATGGTTACTATTGCCACTGGGACTGATAGTGACGGCAGATCCAACATTTTACAGTGCTCAACCAAACAGGAATAGAGGACAAATCTTCACATGGAGATGGCCCTTTTTGGGCCAACTGCTGACCCCTCTCTTTGGAGAGATTTTCCTGTTAGTCAGGTGGACGCCCCCCAAATGGGATACTGACAGCAAAAAACAAAACTGACGGGCTTTCCCCATTCCGAACTCTTATTGAAATGAAAAAATGTTGCTTTAGTAACACTTTTAATTAAGTCTGCACAAAGCATATGTAGTATCCGGCTTTCTTAGAAAGCTTACCATGATTTGCAAACATCATAATTGTAAAATTAATAAATGTTAACTTGTGAAATAAAGATGCTATGCAATTAAATAAAAAGTACAAAATAATACAAAACACTTCATGTGTCTGCAGGGCAGGGATTAAAGGGAATGTCCTCAATACGGCACAAAATGTGGGGGGGGAAAAAAATCTAAAACTGACAGTTTTTAACCTTTTTAATGCTCTAACCAAAATGAAAAAAAATGTTTGGTCTTTAGGTCACTTATAAAGAAGAACAGTTTAAATGATTCCACATGTACATGATTTCCTACAGGTGGCTAGATTGTATCTCCTAACTAATAATTCATCATTAACTTATTATAACCAAAGTATTTAAATGGCTTGTTTCATTTGAGTCTACAACTGCTATGTGTTGTTGGCTCAGACCAAGCAGAATGGCAATACAGTACAGAACCTGAATAGGCCAGACTACACGGTTCTGTATAGTGGGGGTGTGTTGCACATGTAGCATCAGACTGGACAGGAGTTCCACCGATCATGTGCTACATTTTATTTATTTTTGGAATGCTCTAAATTGATGCCAGATTGATGGAGGCTTTGGATTACTGTGCATCTTATCATATAAGCCCCTAACTACTGTGTGTCTAAAAGAGGCATCTCTCCTTTCTTTTCATATTTTTCGTGGAGGTTTTGCATTGTGAAACCTAGTATATCTCGACTGTGAGATTTATTTATTTTTTACACATTTTACTTTTCTCTTTTAAGTGTCAATGTTGGTTGTGGGCCTGCAGAAGAGCGTGTGTTACTTACAGGACTCCATGCGGTAGCAGACATCTACTGTGAAAATTGCAAAACCACATTGGGCTGGAAATATGTGAGTAAGCCTGTATTAGTTACCTGCTTTTTCACTGAGTTAATTATAAATGTGCTGTAGGTCTATTATTTTAAAATATTTAAAGTCACCAAAGGTTTACTTAAATTGGCTTCAACATTGCTGCAACAATTTCCGGGATCGTAAGGTATGGTCCATATTTTATAGTTGCCTCTCACAGTGTTGCCAGTTTTGTCTAGTAGATTGAAATTTCTAGGACTTCTTTTTACCATGGACTTATTAGCACAGTACGATATATAATTTTATTATCTCTTTCATGTCAGACCATTTCATTATCCACTTTTTGCACATGCAGGAATATTCTGTAAAGCTGGATAATACGTAAAGGTTTTGCCATTAACAGGTATCCAGCTGGTGCACCACTTTTTTTCTTTATGGCTTAGAAACTAATAAAGGCTGGGAATATTTGCTTTAATGTGAACCTGTCATGCAGGTGTTATACCCTGCCTTTGCAGTATGCCCAAATTCTGACCAGAAAAGCTCTACCCTTCTTGGTAGTGCTGAATCTTTACCACCACTCACACCTTCTACACATTCCTGTTGGTCAGTGAGTTAGCCCATCATAGCGATGGGGCAGTAGGAATCTGTAGGCTTCTACATTACCAGGAAATGTTGGAGCTTTGCCATTTAGAATTGCTTGATGTTCAGGCATAGTGGAGGTTCTTTAGGGCTGCTGCAGGTATGACCAAACTGCCTGCTTTTTATATCTGGCAGCAGTTTTTTCTTTCTAATAAATATGTATGTAGCACAAAAAATGTAAGCTCGGACTTGTGTTGTATATCATGCTGGTAGCTTGTTGGTATTTATATATCAGAGCTACTCAGTATCTGAGAAGGGGTATGCAGGGGTACCCTAGAAGAAAAGCATTTTAGCATGCAGGAAAAGTTTTTTTTCACAAGTTAAACTATGTCTTGTGGCTTATACAGAAAGTCCCTCTGTACTGTGCAGGTACAGTGTAGGACCTGGGATTTTCAATGACCTTCTGACTTCACCTCTGGTATCAGAACCTTTCATAGGTCATAGGCTTTCCACACACCTTTTTTGTATGTCATTAAACTCCTATGTTTGCAGAGAGCAGTGAGAATCCTCCCAGTCCTGTCCTGTGTTCTTACTTCTCATTTGTTGACAGCTGCACTACTTGAATCAAGTAACAAGTTGCTGAGAAAAGAAAAAGGGATAGGGAGAATTGGGTGGAGATAAAACTGCCCTATTACACTCCCAGTTCCTGACAAAGCATAGGAAAATAGTTCCTACAGAAAACCTCCTGTAAGGGGATAATAACCTCACTATCACTTATCACTCTCAGGTGGTAATACCCCTTCATTACCTTCCACTATTGCTGATGAGCAGACTAGGCAAGATGCATATGGATAATATGAAATATGGATAATGCAAAGGGTAACAACATATTTAAAATGTGCATGCATAAACTATTTTTCCTGGCCATATCCATGGCAGGGCTGACAAATGGGTTTAGATCTAATTACCCCCAGCTGACAGGAACCAAAGGGGTTAAACAAGGCCTAACCCTCTCTATAAAAGCCCCTCCTCCTGCTGACTTCCCTGGTCTTTTTGTTCCTGTCCTCCTAGGACAGGGTCCGGCAGTGGGCTTATCTTCGGTATCAAGAACTTCTAAATTGTGGATAGAAGATCTGGAGGATGATATTAACAGGGGAGTGAGTGGACACAGTCTCCTGGATAGGATACATGATATGAAATTTGGCACCTGATTTCACTACGGGATCCATGTCCAAGGGTATGGTATCCTCTGTTGTAGCCCGCCGGGCACAAAAGTTTTCCATTAGGGAACACCCCGTGGGTTACCATTACGACCGACGCAAGCGGATCGGGTTGGGGAGCTCACGTGGACAACCTATTCGCACAGAGGGTTATGGATAGATAGGGAGGAACACTTCGTCCACTCTAATAGAGCTGAAGGCAGTATTCCAGGCACTCCAGTATTCCAAGAACAAATACAGGTAACAAATCTTCGACACACTTGTAGGAAGATGAGGCAATCCTCAGGTGGATCTAATGGCGTCTCACAAGAATTGCCATGTCGGCCGATCTCTGTCGAGAATATTCAATCACAGAGTGAAAGGCCAGGGCGTTCTTTCACATCCATGGAATTAAGAACTAGCTTATGTCTGTAACGAACCCCTTGCTCGCTCGGTTCCACTCTCCCGGAACTCCTTAGATTTCAGACTACAGTGTCTGATATTTCGGACATCCGATAATTTGGGATTCGAACTTCAGCTATGTGCTGTTCGTATCCAGTGGTAATAGCTCAGAACAAACACCAGGCAGGCTGTATGTAAGTTCAAACAGGAATCTCGTTTATTGGATGCACACACACACTTTTATAAACAACAGTTTGAAGGTGGCCCAACCGACCACCTTCCTATTGGTCAACTGCAAAGTATCCTCCAGTCCTCACCTAGGTCCTCTTGGCCATGCAAATGAGGACTCGAAACAGGGCAAATAGGGATTGGTCCATAGTCCCTAGGAAGGAGGCTAGTCCTCAGGCTCCTCCAGCAGCCCCAGTGACGGTTCAGTCCGTCACAATGTCTTTCCCCACTTTGCCATGATCATAGCAGTCCTTCAAAGGATGTGGAGGGAGAAGGTGGTGGTTATTGCCGTTATCCCACATTGGCCGAGACATCCATGGTTCCCTCTCTTGATGTCCCTCGGCATTCAGGAATCTGGGCAGATCCCAGTGGCATTGGATCTCCTGTCTCAAGGGCCGGTCCAGCACCCACATCCTCAGCACCTCTGTCTGACGGCCTGGCTGCTGAAATGGAAAGGCTGAAAGTCTGGATTTTCACAGGAGGTTATTGATACGCTTTTGAAATCCCGGAAGGTGTCCACTTCCTCTGTATGTTGTAGCATGTGGATGGTGTTTTCCACATGGGCAAACTTGCAACTTTAGAGTGTTTGTATTAAAAAAAAAAGATACTTCTGCTTTAGGCATTTTCATTACTTAATAAGCCATGGAAACAGATGACAGTACTAAAGTGTTCATGTAATTAAAGCTCACTATTTTCAAATGACTGCTCTTCTTCTTCTTTTTTTTCCATAGGAACATGCCTTTGAAAGCAGCCAAAAGTATAAAGAAGGCAAATACATAATTGAATTAGCTCACATGATCAAGGATAATGGCTGGGACTGAAGAGATGAACAGGAGCCTGAAAAGAACATCCAGCCGAATGTGTAAACCTTAGAATGAGCGAGTAACTGAGTGCTTGGTTTCATATGATTCAGAGGCTGTGCCGCATGGAGCATCCTCTCACCCTTAATCCATCATTCTTGGTGAATGGCCTCTAAACTTCTGACACTCTGTCTCTTTGCTTTGTATTCCTTTTGTGAGTTGCCCTCAGCCTCATGCTCTTTTGTAGAGTTGGCTAAAGAAAAGCATCAGGAGCCTCATAGCCCAGCCAGATATTTAACTGTTAGAGTTGATTTAAAGCTGTGTGTAACATGATGTAAAAGAAGTGGCATACGGGGGTCGTCCTGTAGAACAGAGGGGTGGTTTAGTCATTAAATGGCGGGAGGGACATACAATGACGATGATGATGTCCTACAATTTAAGTTATGAAACATGTTTCCTACAAGAGGAAAATACCTCACTGTTACTTTTGGATAATGTGCGTGATTACCCTAGAAAAACTGGGTTTATAATTTATACCTTGAAGAAACCAAAAATACCCAGATTAGAAGGTTGATTTAAGTTTTATGAAATTTCTAGCCATCTAGTGGTACTTTGTAATTCTTTCTTCCAAATCAGCTGATACGCTAAAACTGTCAAGTCCCTTATTACAGGACCGTCGTTGGTTTACTGAAAGAAGGATAACTTTTTCAGAAAAGCTATGATTTCATATTGCACCAATATCCTCCCACAGAGTTGTGCACCTTTCACAACATTGCAAGTTCTATTTTTGCCTTGGCACCACTGATTCAAACCAATCCAGTGTCCCAGGCAATTTAATGTCCATATTGGACATGTAACACCTGTTTGTTTAGTATGTTTTTGTGATGAGCATAGTGGCGGCTCTCATTTTTTTTTCCAAGCAATCGATGCAGAAAGGTGTATGTTCACATTTTTCAGTCTCTGATATAAAATACAAGGATAAGAACGGGTGCCACGTTTGAGAGAACTGTGAAAGTTCTGAAACCAGAATATGAATAACAATTCTATATTGATTTGCTTTTCAAGGTAATATGGAAACCCTTTCTTGCTTTTAAAATAAGTCAATTTAGTTCGACATTGCTATTACAGTTAAAAGCTTCTCAAGGTTTGATGGTAGTACTCAACAAACTGTTCCAGTAGCCATCATTAGGCTGGTTATTTCTGGCCTGTGATATTGAAACAGCCATAAAGCTTGGAAATAAGAGATTTTGATATTGGTTCACTTGGTCTGCTTGATTTAAAAATGATCTTTTGAGTTGTAGAATAGTGAACTGATGGTGGAATTTATTTTATTTATTTCATTTGTTTCTCCTTTTTTTTTTTTTTTTTTCAAGAAAACAGGGTGGCTTTATTTTTAAT